GGGGGGGAGTGTTCTGCACCTGCAGAAGAGGCTACTGCTGTCAACAGACTCTGGTTCCAGGTGCTTAGCCAGTGACTTCCAGCAGTGCAGTGGTTTGATTTCCATTAAAACTTTGGGAGCAAATATATACCGCTTAATATTCTTTAATCTATTAATCATTTAAACTATATAGAGTAAATTTAAGCCTTAATATTGTCTTTTCAAATTAGGTTTTTCTATTTAAAAATAATTGATTTTTATCCACCCTCCTGGTAGGTTGGTGACTCTGTTCAGTCACGAATGTCTCTTCTTAGGGATACTGGGGTCAAATTTGGTTTTGTTTGTAAAAATAAACTTTTACTCTCACAGCCCTGAAAACATTTAAAAAGATAAAAAAAATGTGTATAGTTCAAGTCCAGGTGGTCATGGTAAAACAGAAGGGCAAGTGTTTGTAAGATTTTAATCTGATAGTGTCTGCATGTATCTTGCAAGACCAAACCTCTTCCAGTGCCAATATTATCTGTCTGGCTTTGTGCATAGGGAGTGATGCTGGTGCATATCCTCTTCACTTGCTGAGAGTCTATTTTGGTTTGTGCAGGAATGCCAAGACTTACTCCTATGTGTTCTCCCAGCCTTCTCGAATGCCTGTGTACCCCAGCTGGGTAGGGGCAGACCACGCAGATGACATTCAATACGTCTTTGGGAAACCCTTCAGCACCCCGCTGGGCTACTGGCCTAAGCACAGGACTGTCTCAAAGGCCTTGATTGCTTATTGGACCAATTTTGCCAGAACCGGGTAAGGCGCTCAGGCTGTGGGGGGCAATGCCCTGCCAGTTGCACAGCTTGCTGCAAAATTCCAGGGAGCAATCTTCCCACACTGCCCACAGCAGGAGGGGGGAGAGGGGAACTCTGGCCCTGCTGTCACACCTGCAGCACCCACCCACATGTAGGTGGCCACTAGGTCCACCGGCTATAGGGGAATGGCAAACACATTGAATTGAGGTCTTCAGTTGAAGGTGATGGAGGTAGTGGTGTTCCTGTGTAAACCTGGATGTGCACTGTGGCAATTCACTGTGCCAACGTACACAACATTTCTCTTCCCATCACGGCCCAGCAGCCCTGTGACAGCTAACCGCAAGGTACGTAAGTGCCTATGCTCAAGTTCCTCACTCCCAGACTGCTGTTCACGTTCGTGAGTGCAGGCAAGTGCTTCCCTCTCCCAGGTTTATGGACCATTAGAAAGGCTGACCTGTGTGAAACCCTAAAGGCTGGGTGCAAGCTACCGGGAGCGTCTCCTGTCTGAGCTGGGCTGCTTTGCATTTAATACCAGCTGTTTTGTCTGCTTTTTCAGTGACCCCAACAAAGGAGAGTCTACTGTGCCCATCGGGTGGATACCCTACACTCGGGAGGAGGGCTACTACCTCGAAATCAACAGTGACATCAACTATGATTCGGTGAAGCAAAGTCTGAGAGCCTCCTACGTGCAGTTCTGGAATACGGTCTACCAGAACCTGCCTGACGTTTCTTCCACTTTCCTGGATTAGAGACAGGCCAACAAACCGATCAACCAATTCTGTAAAAAAAAAAAAAACTAGCCAAATTCTGATTAAATGCTTGTTTCTGGCTGCACTTCCTGGCCTCTTCCAGCCTACTTATTGCAACAGAATTTTCCATAAGAACATTAAGAGCTGGGGTCAAATTTACTGGGCAGTTTTGTTCTGTCAAAAAAAATATACCTGGTGGCACCTGTTGCATGGAGCCATTCAGCAAACCTGCAACATGTTCTTGGCCTAGTAAATTGCTCTTTGTGTAAAGGTCAAACCTTGCACCGAGCTACTTTAAAGGGGTTGCTTGAAATTGGGGTCTTTCATGCAGGTGTCACCGACAGTCCTCAGCAACAGAAGAGCCCTGTTTAGAAAGAGCTGGCACTGCCCTACACCAGATGAGATCAGTTCACTAATGCTACTTGGCCCTAAGCAGGCGTGATACTAACCCTCCTAAAATCTCTATTACCGTATTAACGAGAGATTTAGCCCTGTTTTACAGATGGGGAATTGGGGCCCAGCATGTTGCTGACCTACCCCAGCTGTCAGGTCCTGACCATCCTCCTTTGTTCTCGCTGCTGGATTCAGTGGCACAGTGGCCTAATGCCATGGTACTTCAGTGCTGGAAACCTGGTGTCCAGACTGGTTAGGTGAGACGTAGATAGGTCTCTGGCACCAGCCCATCTCTGCTCCCCTCTGAAAGAGCAGCGCTGCTAGTAATAGACAAAAGGGTAGTGACTCAACTCCTGTCAAGTGCCTCTGCTCCTCACTTTCCCCAGCAATACAATGTCACTCACTCACTCGAGCAATCACTGCAGGCTCCAGTCCCTCCCTGCTCCTCTTTTGGCTGGTGAGAAGCCAAGGGCTTCCCAGGAGCAGCACAGGCCTTTGTCCTTTCCCATTTTCGTGTCAGGCCAGCCCCTGAGGACAAACCGCATCCAGCCTCCGGGCTGTGACATTTGCACATTGGTATTTTATTCCAAAGACTAATTACATTGCCGTGTGCTCCTTCATTGAAGTCGTGTTACAAAATACATACATATAATACATCCAGCTACAGGGGCGTGCGGAGCCCACCTGGAAAGACAGGTAAGTCGACCCTGCCCTGCCTTTAATTTCAGCAGTGGGCACGTGTGTTCAGGCACAGAGCAGTACATAAACTGAGCAGGCAGCTGTGCAATGGAGAGGGAAGTGGGGGCGGGGTCAATTTGTGGGCATGCGGGTGTGTTCAAATTCACATTCTCCTAGGGAGGTAAGGGGAATAGTTCACAGTGACAGTTCACCCTGTAGGATCTCTGGAGCCAGGGCGCCCCCACAAGATGGTAGCATTTAGGCACTTTCTGCCACAGCGTAGTGTAGGGTAAGGGAACGCCCTAGCCTTGCAGGCTGGCTGATCTGCAGTGGAGGCGAAGGATCTTGCCTGGAGGCGAAGGATCTCTTCCTCCCAGCCAACAGGGCAGCATGGCGCAGGCTCCTGTGGTACGACAATCCTCCTCCGGTAAGGAGGGGACAGGCTGGAGGGGGTCGGTTTGCAGCACAGCCGTGCAGTCACTCATTCAGCTTCCAGCAGAGGAGGTCCAGCTTGTTAAGTGCTATGCCTGGCAAAGGGGCCACAGCCAGGTGGTAGCAGGAGCAGCTCAGGTGCTGTAGAAAGCCATGGAGAGAGGAGAGGCTCCTGCTTCAAGGAGGCCATGGCTCCCTTCATGTGCAGGAGCAAAGAGGGGGGGGGGGGGGAAGGCACCCAGCAGCTCTTAGAGCAGAGAGGTCACTTCCTGGAGCTTAGGCCCATGCAGATGCATGAACAAACACCCTTTACAAAGTGCCCAGGCCAGACCCCAAAGCAGCAACCCTCCAGCGTGACAGGCAAAGCCCCTGCTAGGAATTACCACCCAGCCCAGAAGCAGCAGCTCAAGACATCCAACAGTCTCTCCTGGCAGGGCAGAGCAGGCAGGTCCTGTGAAAGGTGAGCACGCGTTGGATAGTCGTGCTGTGATAAGAGCATCCCTCCCCTTTCTCCCTGCACCTTGACACTACCCCTGCTTTGCTCCCCCTCTACAGCCCTGTGTCTTAGCTTTCCTCCCGGCGCGGCTCAAGTCACAGCACCAGCATTTCAGGGGGCAACTTCCACCAGCGTTCTACAAAACTGGCTCCTAAGAGCCGGAGCTCCCAGAGGCTAGCGCTGCTCCAGGCTTGCTCAGGAAAGGGCCTGTCTGCTCCCAGAGCTGGCAGGGTGGGATACACCAGCATTGCTACAATGGGCAGGGGCAGGTGCATATCAGGAAAGGGCTTGAGGAACAGAGAGCCCCCATTGGGAGTGTTTTGTTCAGTGATTTAAAAACTCGGCTTTTTCTCTTCCCCGGCTGAAGCAATTCCCTGTTAGTGATAAAGAAACAAAAGGGATGTGGAAAAACGTCCACCCCTGCACACAACAGAACACAGCCATTACAAAGATGGCTCCCAGCAACTTTAAAGACAAGTGGGGGGTGGGGAGGGGTTAGTAAAAATGTACAAGTTTGATGGTCCTATTTACAACCAATAAATATTGAAAAAATTCAGTAAACATCAGGGGTTTGTTTTTACAAAAGTTTGCTCTCTCCCCTCCCCCCCCCTTTCACTGTCAAATGTTTAAAAAAGTCTTTTTAAAGCCCAAGGTAAGTGGCACTTTCTGGGGGCTGGGTGGATGGAGCCAGGGGCAGTCAGCCCCACTCGGCTGCTCCTCTCCCACCCAACCAAAAAGAAAGTCTCTATTTACAGACGTTTGTACAGAAATTGGCTCCTCCCCTCCTGGCTCAGATGGCAGTTCCGGCTGGGTAGTTTTGGCCCACGAAGAGACACTGGCATTTGATCTTTGGTGCAGGTTTGAAAGTGATGGAGCTGGAGGGACACAGGAGTCCAACCCGGAGGATCCAGAGGATCAGTAGAAAGTAAAAACAAAGCAGCCTTGCAGAGCTGAGCCGCCAAATCCACTGGCCAGGTCATCACCCCCAGACTGCCCCAACTGATGGGATTAGAAATCCCAGGGAGCAGCAGCTGCGTGTTTTCCAGTTTAACTCCCCTAGGGGAACGGTCCAGAGGCAAAGTGCAGCTCCCCAGGGGCAGGTGGACGATGCAAAATGGTCATGCTGCCAGTTTACCCAGAAGGGGAACGAGGGAGCAGGAGGTCAAGTGGCTGCAGGGCCCAACTCAGCACAGGAGGGGATACACCCCGTTGGAGAGCTGATAGCTCAGCTCTGTTGCTCCTGCGGGAGGTGAAGGGAGCCCTTGGTGAATCGTCCTCTTCTCCGCTCTAACAGAAGGCACCTAAGGCAGAGAGGCAGGGCCCAGCTCTGGGCAACCCGACGGCCACAGCGGCGTCGCACGTTGGAAGGCGTTAAAAACCCATCCTGCGTGTCGGAGAGAGACCGGATCGGAACGCCGGCTTCGACCGAGAGGCCACAGCCACACCCGCGCATTCAGCTCCAGGAGAGCGTGTCACCCTTCCTCGCAGGCGAGACTTGCTCCCCTCACCCAGGCTGGGTGACGTTAAGACAGACCAGCAGCCAGGCCCAGAGCAGGCTGCCCGCAAAGCCCAGTCAGCGAGGGGCACGGCCAGGCCATGGCTAGAAGATGCCCTTGGCAATCTTCAGGCCCTTCTGCTTCATCCTGGGCAAGGTGGAGCTGGAGCCATGCTTGATCTTCACGCCCTTGGAGAAGCCCCTCTTCTTTAGCACAAAGTCATAGTTGGCGGCAGAGTTCATGGCGTAGAAGACGTTGGCGTTGTCAGGGATCTTCAGCTCTGCAAGGAGAGTTCGGTTAAGTCACCCACGGGTTCTGCCAGGCTCTGGCTGCCTTCGCGGAAGGGGAAGGAGCAGGCAGTCGGGAGCTGAGGTACAGGAAGGCTGGGACTGTGCAGGGTATGTGGGGACCGAGGGAGCCCCTGGGTCCTAGCCCCAGCTCTGCCGCCGACTCACATTTAACTGTGGCCGAGTGCTGCAGCCTCAGCATAACAGAGCTGGTGCTCACCTCCCCGACAGACAGAACAGCATGGGGCTGCCTCACAGCCGCTGGGAGGGATCACGGGGAATCTCTCTGGCTCCAGAGCAGCTGGGAGGTAGGGCCCATTTTACAGATGGGGAAACTGAGGCACACAGACTACACGACTTGCCCAAGGCCTGACAAGAAGTCTGTGGTGGAGAGGGAACAGGATCTGGGTCGCCAGCCGCCCAGGCTGGTACCCTGAGCCCTGGGCCAGTACCCTGAGCCCCGGGCCATCCTTTCTTTTAGGACTCTAGGAGAACATTCTCCCCAGGAAGTGACGGCAGAAGCCGCTCCAGTAACTCCTTCCCTGGGGGGCACATCCCCTCTAAGGAGTTGCGGACAGCTCCAGCTCAGGTTTTGCCGACACAGCGGCGGGCAGACGTACACAGGCTAGTGTGCTGAAATAGTGTAGCCCCAGCAGGTGGGGCTAGCCACCCGAGTACAGCCCCTCCGGAGATCTGAGGTCTGTCCTCGCATCACTAGCCCAAGCCCCGCCTGCTGTTTTCGTAGATCCCAAGGCCAGAAGGGACTGTGGAGACCGTCTAATCTGACCTCCTGTTTCTCTCCCTGTTAAAATTTAGGCCTTACTTTAGGGCACTAGCACACGTACGTCTCGCCGAGCTGGGAATTACACCTCCCAGCTGCTGTGTAGACAGACCCCAGCGTAAGACGGGCAGCTCAGGCTGTGAGGGACACCAGAACCACCCCTAGGTACCTCTTTCCTCGGAGATGATCTGAACGAGCTCGTAGTCTTCCGGCCGGTCCCCGTCCAGGTTGTGTTTGGCCATAGCCTTGCGAATCACCACAGGGGTCTTATCCTGGCTCGTCACCTGCGAGGGGAGAGCGCTCATCAGTCCAGGGCTCAGGGACCAGGGCCCAGAAGTGGCTGCCAGGCCGAAGATGGATCCCATGCCCCCCTGCTTGTTAGTACAGCAATCCCCGCTGCAAGCTCTGCCAGGAGGTGCCGTGAGGATCAAACCCCCCCTCTCCCCCGAGGAGGCTCTGAGATGGGGCACGCTGCAGGCTCTCCCCAGCCCCGACTAGCCCCCTCCCGCCTGGATGCGCTGC